TATCTTTAGAATTTCCGATACAGAGTCTCACGCACTGGAGATAAAAATGTTTTTTTCTGTACAACGTTGCTATTTCTCACTTTGAAATCCTTGAGTTTGTTAATCAAAAATTTGTTAGTTTTGCAGAATATGAAATTGACATAAAACAAATTTCAAATTTGGGCGTCCACATGCCCATATTCGCAGTAGGATTATGTCATTCAAAATTTGATGGCTCTATGTACCATTGTTTTATCACAGTGTGAAACATATACATACATGTATGCAAATTTTTCATTATTTAATTTCTTCAAATATAATGCAGGACTCTTAACATTTGGTAGCAACAGTTTGAAAAGTGAAACGGACATTTATAGTGAACCAACACAAAATCGCAAAATGAAACAAAGTCCCTTTGGACTAAAAAAAAAAAAATCATATTTGCAAGTTATGAAATGCATCTGTCACCTCTTAAGTTTAGCACAGAAAGTCGGCTTCTTTGTCAGTAATTGTGGATGAATGCATTATTGATATTTATTATTATCTTAGAAAGATTGCTAAAAGGAAAGAAAAATTGAAGCAATTCTTACAGCTGCATAATACTGAAATAAGAAAAAATCTGAAATACTCATATGTATGAACAAAATCGCAAAAGTTATCTCTAGAGCTAGAATCCTTGACTGTTAGAACCCACTTCTTACATATTTTAGGGAAGAGGTAGAGTTAAATTAAATTCTCTGTTGAAAGTTATAAAATGCCTTAATTAAATAGAGATGTAGTTATTACTTCCACTGTTAAAATAGGTGAGAGAAAAATTAAGCAATTTCGTCACCTGCAAGCAATTTAATTGACAATTCTCAAAATAATACTACAGAATATAAGCATAAAGCTCTACCCCCCCAAAAAAATTGCTTGACAAGGGACTCATTTTTTATTTATTGTAAGTTTATCTTGTGAAGAATGAATATTTATGGTTTTGTCTTTGGACTTTAACAAAGTTTTTTGCTCTTTTTGTACGTTGCATTTTGCCATCATTTGATGTTCTTAACAGAGTTCTACTGTCCAGAGTTATATTAATTCATGTTTTGCAATCAATGATCTGGTTAAACTATTATTTAATGATTAGGGAAACTGATTAGAGTATTTTTCTGTTATCAGAAGTAGTAGTAATTACTTTGTTTTTTAAATATACAAGTATTTTTGCATTATTTGCATTTAAGAAATACTATCTGAGCTTTCAGATATTAGTTAGCTACTGTTTAAAGTTAATTCATTGTTAGAAAATATGGTACTATTCCGTTCAAGCGGCGTCTGTTAAAATCTGCCGCATTTTTTTTCCACCAATTGTTGCTGATTGTAAAATTATTAAATAATAATAGAGTTCAAAATACTAAAAAGAAATTCGTTTTGTAAAAAGTAAATTTTTTAAAAATTTCTTAGGGAAAGTAAATTTTTCCTCTTAACCCATTAGCCGCTGGTGTTGCGTTGACGCAACGGTCAAAATAAATGCGTATATAAATATAACTACCTAAGATATTTTATACCAGCAGATGATTTTGTGTAGGGAATATTATGAAGATTATTTCTGTAAAAAAATATTTGCCTTCAACAATCATTTTGTTTATAATAATTAATCTCATACTTTAAGCAAAATTTTCGACCGGGTATTTTTTGCTGAAAATATTTAACGAAAGAATTTGCCGTCTTTATGAGTGATCTATTTATAATCAAGGTCACCGTTTATCAGAACATTACGTCAATTAGATGTTTATATTTGTGTTGGGAAGGAAGGGAAAACAGGTGTTGCTCTGACACAACGTCAGCAGGAAACGGGTAGTCAATCTCCTTTTTCACTCATTCCTTTCGATGTTCTGTTCATGTTCTGGTTGTTTAAAAATGCCTAGAACGAGGTATCTTACATAAGAAGAAGCCCTTCAAAGACTTTTTGATGAAGCAACAGATGATGATAATGTTAATAATGACCAGAATGAAATTGATATTGTTGTTTCCCCAGAAATTGCAGAAACTAGTGACGAAGAAAGGAATGGCAATGTTTTAAATAATGATAATGATATTTTACTGAATGATACTGCCGGGGAAGTTGAAATTCACGTAAGAAGTAAGTTTCAGCCTTCTAAAAGCAGTTATAGTCATACTAAAAAGTTTAAAAAGCAGAAGACTGAAATCTTGAAGTGGATAGAAAAGGAACTGTTAGTTATGTCTCAGGAAGAACATGAAAAAAGAGATAGAAGAGAAATTATAAAATACAAAATACAAGGTAAAACTAGTGCAAAGATTTTCGATTTTCTTTTTGGCATTTACTTTCTTTTCGTTGAACAGACAAATATATACGCTCCGAAGGGGGTGGGGGAACAACCCAGAATTTATTGCATCTGAAGCCTATATGAGAAGATTTATTGAAATATTATTGCTTACAGGATATCATTCTTTACCTCAAGAAAAAATGAATTGGTCTTTTGATAAGGACATTTCTGTTCCTGTTGTACGAGAATTGATATCACGTTTGTAGTACAGGAATATGAACAGAACTTGCATTTGACAATAATCAAATTGACAATACTGATAAATTATATGAGGTGAGACCGTATCTAAACTTACTAAATATCACCACTTTTTACTACTGGAAATATAAAGTCTTTTAGATTTCAGATGCGAGAATGCATTATTCCTTTTGAAAACTCCTATTGAGAGTGCAGAATTAGCCAGAAATAGATCAGCAACAGGAAGATTTAGTAAATTCAGCATTCAAAAACCATTGCATGGAGATGGTAGACATTTTTTCATAAAGTCCGTTGATAACAGAAGACTTTGTTGTAAAGAGTATCATAGCCAGACTGTTTATAGATGCAAAGTATGTAATGTAGCTTTACATCATGATTGTAATCAAGCTTTTCATGCTTGAATCTTTCAATTGAAATAATCTGTATTTGTAAAAGAAATACAATGTATATTTTAATATTAAATTAATTACAACTAAAGTGATTTGTAGATTTATAAAACGTTATACAGCTAAAAAGTAATCCTGCGCTCCACTCAAAAGAAACATCACACGAGTACAATCCTACTCACTAAACATCTGTAGTCTTATTCTGCTGATGTTGTGCGAACGCAACACTCGCTTTTTCCACAGGTAAGAACATTTTTTTTTTTATTTTCAACATAAATTTATATTATAAATGCTTAATTTAATATTTGTTATTATTTTCATGAGAAAAGAAACATTCCTTGTAGTTTTGGCGGTTAATGGGTTAATTTTTTAATCTAAAATATATAAATAAAAGATACCAAAACTAAACAAAATTCAATCTAAACAGATGGTATAGAATTACAGATATCATTCAATATTGCCAAAAAATTTTCAGCTTTTGAATGTAATCGATGCCACATAAATTCTATCAAATACGACTTTAAATGGTGGCGAGCAGTGCCCCGCTGATGTTTATTTCTCCATTTAACACTGCCCCACAATCACTTCACAGTTCGAGTATGGTATCTAGTTATGGGGTCTATAAAATTATAACTGGGATTCGCAGTGAAATGTTCATGTTCCTTAATTCTTCTTTTTTACATCCTTTCCAGCAGTCTGAAAATCTAATGTAGCCATTTGCATTACTTTCCTGTCATCAACAGTGAATACCCATTATTCTGGAAGAATACGTCCAACGTTTTTTTCTTTTTGTAAAAAGACTTTTAAAGTAGCTATTCCAATCTATTGTCATATTATGGCTGATTTCTAGCTGAAGATAGCAAAATTCAGTTGACGTCAGTTCTTGATACCACAGACAGATAAATCAATCTGCATTGAGGATACGAAGACAGAAGTCTTCAAACCATGTTTTGGTTCTCAATCCTTTTTTTTTTTTTTTTTTTTTTTCCACAGCAAGAACAAATGTAACAACACCATATAGGAGCTTTGTGTGAGTCAACAATTAAACTTCATCAGATGATTTTGAGAGCAAAGTCTATTGATATGAATTATTCCTTTGTTCTGAAAGAATCTTATGACAGCCTTTTGGTCATTAGGTAATTGCCAAATTGTGTAATTCATCGTACTAAAAAAAGTGCCGAAATGCGACAAAACAATAACAAGTGATGATATTTCAAATAACTAAAAATCTAGAGCCACCATATTTCAAACGTTAAATTGTCAAGTCATAATATTTGGCGTGTTGTTATAGTGCTATTTGCAGTGTTGTTTTCTTCTAATTTTTTCCCTTCATTTTTAACTAATACCGCTCTAATGGAATATTACCAAAAATATATTTTCTTTCTATATATTTTTATTGTTTAAAAAAAAATCTTTTTGTCGCTGAGAAAATTCCTCTGATTTCTTTAAAAAAATTTCCTGATTTTTTAGCATCACAGGGTAGGCAGGTATGCTGATTAATCTGGTGTCTATTGTAAATGTAATGAATTATTCAAAAATAATAGACACTGATTGCATAGAGCTAAATTTTATAAGGAAAAGTGTTTTAAGTTTCTAATTGATTAATTCTAAAATTTTATTTATCAAATCTGCTTGATTGATTATAAAATTTCAATTTCTGTTCTATAAGTGTTCTTGTGATTTGAGAGATCATACTTATACTAGTTTAAGTTGGTTGCTTTAATGGGCTGCTAAAATAACTTCTGGATTTTCTGTGAAATTTCCTGTAATGATGGAGTAGTTCTTTTACACAGAGACATCTAGTCTCCTGAAATTATTGAAACCATGCTAATTGTTTAACCAACTCAAGAACACAGAAGAGTTTTTCTTGAGGTGCTGGCATTCTGAATGTAAATAAGCATCTGAGCTCTGAAAAGGAACAGTATATCCAGACTATAATAGATTGCTATGCTGGCAATCCATTCAGAACTTATGAACCTACTCTTTCCCATGAATCATTCTTGAAGACTGAGATAAAATTTCGCAATTTGTATATTCTTTTTAAATGATCCTTGTTATATATATTTATGCTGTGTGAATGTTTCTGATTTTATGCAAATATTGTTTTCTGTGCATGATGGTTATTCATTTTTTAGATACATAATGGCACATATATGGGCTAGCCCACCAAGTGAAGGAGATGATTATATTTTTAATTGTCATCCACCTGAGCAAAAAATTCCAAAACCAGGAAGACTGCATGAGTGGTATAAAATTTTGATAGACAAAGGTATAAAAAATGGGATAATTGTAGATTATAAGGTAAGTTTATTAGTATTTTATAACAAGCAAGAATGAATTCTTTAATATTATAATTTAATAAACATTCTGACAATGACAATTTTGAATGGTATGATATGATATGTTGTGTTTATTATAATTGAATAAACGCTTACTGTAGTCCATACCATAACACCACAGTCTGAATTTTTGAAAGAAAGTATGCTGAATTGTTTTTCTATGTGGTTGACAAGTATGATTAATAAGGATCACATGTTTCGACAAATTAAAATAATTCACATTCTAGCAGTGGCCTAAAAAAAGAATAATAGCATGAATTTTAATGAGCTAGATTTTTGTTTTAAAAGCTTTAGATTTTCTGTAAATATAACTGCATTGCATAAAAAAAAAAAAAAAAAAAAAAAAAAAAAAAAAAAAAAAAAAACCACTTACTTACCTGATCTATGCAAAACAACATGTATGTCACACTAGACATTTAATAGAGATACCAGTTTTCCCAATTTAGGTGGAAGACTGAATTTCTAAACCATACTTCTGCCAACCTGATTTACAGCATATTTCTTTCAACTTTCTGTTACTGCTTAATTTTCTCATAATTTTTCATAGTTTGGCTTAACATTTCATTATTTGACCCAAAAATATCATTGCTGGCATAAAAAATTCCTTGGATTTTCCCTAGATTACTTAAAAAAATAAAATGAGGTCATTTAATGTAAGATAGTATGGTGTGCTGTTGCTATGCTAGTGAGAACAGATATGTCTGAAAAAATCATGTGTGTTGCTGTCAATGACAATGAAGTAGATTGCTTCTAACATCATTATCCTTTTCCAAAAAGAAACTGTTGTTCAAAAAGACTTATGAGTAGTTATGCATAGGACTTGTTGATGTACACTGCTCAAAAAAGAAAAGGGGGGGACAGTGCTATATCTCCCGTTCTACTGGGCCAATTGACAAAATTCAAACTGCGTTTTTCATGTCTCGAAAGCGCGACTTAGGATATATATTAGATTTATATATAGCACTATTCTAACATAGGTATTTTGACACAAAATCGGACTTTTCTGAAATAACATACCAATTTTTTTCCATATTTCGATTCTACGGCTCAAATTATGCCAGAATGCCAAGTTTTGTAAAAATCGTACAAGTAGTTTTTAAAAAATTAGCTGTCAAAATTTTAGCTACTCAATGGTAATTGAATTTGATATATATTTATTAATACCTCTTTTTCTATTAATCTTACTATTAATCTACTATTACTTAATTTATAATTCAACTAACATTAGCTATTTAAATACAAAATCCGTAACAATACTATACCTTTTACTTCAGCTTCAGTAATTCGGAATTGTTGTCGGAACTAGGACTTAGAAGATAAATCAAATTAAATATTTCAATAATCCAACAAATTCAAGGTCGAAGTTTCAGTATTTTATTTTCGGAGGGAGGGGTCATTTTTTCATTTTTGGTCCATTATTCTAAGTATATTTGCTTCGATTCTTTATTTTTTCCATAAAAGCGAAAATCTTACGCATGGTATACGTATAACGCATAGCTTCAAATTAAAATTTAATAATATAGAGGGTGGTTATAATTAAAGTTCCACATTGAAACGGTCATAAAAGGAAAACTACTGGATCAAATGTTAGCAAACTTTGTAAGCATGTAAAGGAGGTCATGGGAATTTATTTTCCACGAAAAAAAGAAAGTTTGAAACCTCACCACCAGGGGAGAAATGGCGCTGTATGTAATATTGTTAAACGAAATATGGGTCAGAATCTAACTTAACCTTTTGTTACACGGGTTTAATATGTCGTATACCCTTAAGAAACTTTGAAGTGAGCAAATTACCATTTAAAGGCGTTAAATTCGATAAAAGTTGAGTGTGCCATCCGTGTAAGTGAGAAATTCGTCCGTGAAAACCACGAATTAGCGATTAGAAAATGTGCGATCTCAAATCACTCGCACGAGTGCGTACAATCTGGAAATCATTTTCTTACAGATCGCTAATTGTAATTTTTGAAGCCTGAATTTGGCTCTAAAGCATGAAGATAGTGATTCAAAACGCTTTTAATCGATTTGGGCCAAAGAAATCCCTCATGTTATCTACCTAGTTCCATTGCATTCGATTGCATAGCAGTCATTTCACACTGCTGTTTGGTGTGGAATGACAGCTAGTTTCATAACTGAACCATTTTTCTCTGAAGAGCAGTCGACATCTGGACCACTGTGATTGCAACTCGCTTAGAGTCAATGTTAAAATGTTTCGTGATACGTGAACTGCAGTAACGGGGCATTTTAGATACTACAATTTTTATGCAGGGCTGGTCCCCACCTCACATGCGTCGCACAGTTACTTAGGCAGCATTTCACGAATGAATGTCTTATAGGCCGACACTTCCCCTCTTCCCACCAGACCTACCTCACCCTCTGTGACTTTTGGCTATGGGGTTATCTTAAAAGCACTGTTTATTGAGATAATCTAAACAATTTGGCAGAAATGAAAAATGTGATACACCGACATGTCCGTAACATTCCTCCTGATGAGCTAAGAGCTGCTGTTGAGAATGCAGTGACAGGATTTAACTTACTTTCGGAAAATGCTGGTTGCTACATTGAACATGCTTTGTAACATGTTTCGGAAACGATTAAACACATTTTAAACAGATGTTTTCATGTCTTATTTCATTTAACAATATTGCATACAGTGCCATTTTTCTCCTGGTGGTGAGTTTTTGAATTTTTTTTTTTCCCTGCGGAAAATAAATTTCCATAACCTCCTTTACACGATTCCCAAGTTTGATAACATTTGGTCCAGTAGTTTTCCTTTTATGACCATTTCAAAGTGGAACTTTAATTATAACCACCATGTAAATTTAACTTTAAAACTTTGACAGTTTGGTTCAAGTCCCAGCTTTAAAAATATATAAATTTTTATATTAATTCTCTTAGAAAGAATTTTTTAAGAAGCTAATTTTTCTCGCACGTTATAGATTGTATAAAAAAATATGATATATTTAATATGATTTAGTTTGGTTCAATCGGAATAAGAATTGGGTCACTCAGTGAAACAGAATGAACACTGCTGGACTGTTTTATTTCTTTGTCATTTAGCAAAAAATCTTTTAATATAAATATTTATCATTTGGACTTCGCTTTAAACTTTATTTATAGTTAAAATGACTAGAAAATGAAAAACTGTCTTCAGCTGAAACGCAATTCATGTAATTGATATTTTTAAAAAAATGACAAGAATGCAAAATTTATGGAAGTCTAGCAAACGAAAAATCTTAATTTTCTTGTGTGAGCACTGAAAATAACTGTAGAAGCAAAGAAGAAAATTAGGGAGAAAAGCAAGCAAAAATTCGCAGGGAAATTTGGCTGTCAGACATACCAAGGTGTTTAAAAAAGTTGGACGCTTTTGAAGATACTTTCAGTATACTTTAAAGAATTTAGGTGTTCAAAGAGAAAACACTTGGACGTGTACACCAGCAAATACCATCAATTGAGCTTGTGTTAACAGAAAAAACAAAACGATATCATTGCAGATCAGTGAAGAGTGACTGGTTTTAGACCATACTGTTGTATAAATTTAAATTACGTTATAGAACATCATATCGTATCATAAATGAGAATCCCATGATTTTCTCAGTCAAATTATTTGAAGATTCAGGAGTTTATCCAGTGATGTATGCGGATGTCACGTAAAGATGTTTTCTTTTTTCCCTCCTGATGAAACAGCGGCCGAGCGGTAAATCACTCAACACTGGTAGTTCGGTCCGAGGTTTGAATCCCACGAATAGGCTGGCTGCATGGACATTTTCGTGGTGTTCCCCATGTGTAACGTGTATGTGAGCCAGTTTTCCTTAGAAAGTCCTCCGTGAAGGCATCCTCCCCTTAGGCAGATAGCCCTAGTGTGCTTTGTCATAATTAAATAAACCAAAACCTCTTGATGAAACCAGTCTTTCCTTTCATCTCATACCTTCAAAATGCTTAGCCTCTAAAGACTGATAAAGGCTCTGACCAAATACTGACGAAATGGATTGAAATGGATTATTAAGTTACGGCAAAGCAGGGCTATCTGCCTGAAAGGAAGGATGCCTTCGTGAAGAACTTTCTAAGGGAAACCAACTTGCATACACGTTACACATGAGAAAATCTTCGAAAACGCCCATGCAACCACTTACCGGGATTCGAACCCCAGAGTGAACTACGTGTCCATCGACTTTACCGCTCGGCCGTTTGTGGGCCTTTATGAAATGGGCGTTAAGGCGAACTGGGCGACTTTAAAATGATTGTCAGAAATAATTTACCAGAAAACCAAGATGTTTCAAAAATTGGATGCTTTGCTTTTTAAATACACTTGCAGAATGCCTAAAGAAAAAGAGCAAGAATGAAGCAAAATGCCTGAAGAAAAAGAGAAGAAAAAATAAATTTTTGCATAAAATTTAGTGTTTGTATTTTTTAAAAATTTTTAATCTTGTGATATTTAATTCTTGCGATTTCAAGAATAAAATATTTGACTAAAATATGAATAACATTTTAAGAAACCAAATGTAGGATAAAGAAAAAATAAATTTTTGCGTAAAATTTAGTGTTTGTATTTTTTTAAGCTTTTTAATCTTATGATATTTAATTCTTGCGATTCCAAGAATAAAATATTTGACTAAAATATGAATAACATTTTAAGAAACCAAAGGTAAGATAAAATTGTGTAAAGCAATGGGCACAATGATAAAACTGTTTAAAGCAGTGTATGCAAGTCATCCTAAGTTAAAATGTCGGTTATACATCTCTCTTATTTATATATATCTTTTCTGAACAGAACATTGAAAGGCATGTTAATTGTGCTTTACTGTATTTTCTCTTTTAATATATGCAGTTTTCAAACGCATCATAGTCTGGGTTACAAAGTATTCTTCTGAAAGAAACGCAATTCAAATAAATAAAATCAAATTCTGGAAAATTTATATTAATAAATATACTTAAAATGCTCAGTTCGAATGAATAAATAGAAAAT